GCTTTTTTTTGTTGTTGTAGTTGTCATTGTTGTTTAGCTGGCCTAAGGCCAGGTTCAAACCTGCCAGCACCAGTGTATGTGGCCAGTGCCTTAACCACTAAGCTATGGGCACTGAGCCAAGATGTTCCTGTTTTTAAAGAGATTAGTATTCTTTTCATTTGTGAAAATATATCAATGTGAAATCAAATTATTTGTCTCATACATATAACCTCCAAACTAATCCCCACCCCCCTTGAGTGCTGTGGCATCAGCTTAGCTCATAGCAACTTCAGACACCTGGGTTTAAATGATCCTCCTGTAGTATCTGTTACTACAGGCACCTGAAACAACACCCGGATAATTTTTTCTAGTTTTAGTAGAGACTGCAGTCTCACTTTTGCTGAGGCTGGTCTCAAACTCCTGAGCTCAAGGGATCCTCCTGTCTTGGCCTCCCAAAGTGCTAGGCTTGCAGGCGGGAGCCACGACCCCCAGCCTACTTCCCTCTTTGATGATATTTGTTTACAAAGGAGGTTCAACTAAACTTCTCTCATTAATTATGCACGTTTTCACACATTTAATGATAATTATGTATTTCTACCAATTAGGCTGTAAATTTGTCTAAAAAGCAATATATATCAAACCACTTTTATTCCTGAAGCACTGGTAAATTAAATGCTATCAGATGTATGAAATGATAAAACTTATTTAATACAGCTAAGTGAGATCCCACCAAATATCCTCCGTCCTCCCTTCAAGCACTTTCTCCTCCCTTTTCCTTCCCTGCCCCCCTTACTAGACTATATTTGTGTTTTATCATTCCTATGAGTGTGTATGTGTTTATATATTGGTTTCATAATAGTATTAAGTCATTGGATACTTTTTTCTATTCTTGAGATATTTTACTAAGAGGAACGTGTTCCAATACCTAATGTGCACAACGCAAGGGTGTATTTCAAAATAACTAAGAGTAAATTTTAGCTGTCTTACCACAAAAAATAAGTGAGGTGATGGCTATGTTAATCAGTTTGATATAAGCATTCTATATTGTATATAAAATCACCACATTGTACCCCATAAGCATATACAGTTCTGTTTTTAATTAAATATTAATAAAAAACAAAAAAATACAACTAGTTAGAGACTTTTTTTTCTGTATAGTACAGTGTTCCATTTAGTGGAACTAAGAGTCCACAAACACATTCAAGAGGTGATCAGGATTCGTTTCCAGAGAGGACTCTCTTTTTGGTTTGTATATAGCTACCTTCTGTGGCTACACCCTTACCATGGACTTTCCTCGGGGCGTGCATACAGAGAGTGCTTCAGTGTCTTTCTTTTCTTCTTCCTGTAATGCACAAATCCTATTGGATTAAGATTCCACCACTATGACCTTATTTAACCTTGATAACCTCTCTAGAGTTTTTATCAGTAGATAGGATCACATTGAGGGTTAGAGCTTCAGCATATGAATTGGAGTGGAGGTGCATGATTCATTCCATAATGGCCACTTTATTTGAGAATTAGTCCACGATTACCCCAAACAAAAGTAACTTTTTCCTTTTCTAATGTGCCTAATTACTGCCATTTTTCTGAGTTTGCACTTTTCACAAATTGTTGTCCCACATTTATAGACAACTAAACATTTAACTATTCTCAATCAGAATAGAGTTAAAAAATAGGCCCACACACATGTGGAGAAATGATTTATGACAAAGTTGCACAGGCATTTCAGTGAGGGGAA